TTTTAGTGCCCACATTCAGCATCTCTGCCTTTGCTGGATTGCATTTCTACAATCAAACTATTATCTATTCCCCCCCTCCGTCCCAATTTGACTAGAAGAAGCTCACTAGAGTCCCTCAAGCCAGAGACTAAGGTTCTAAGAAATTCACAATATTCTCAATTAGTCAATTATTTTCAATCACAAAAGAACCAGTGCCCTCCCAAACCAGTGTTTTCCTTTCACAAGAACAGGTTTACCTTTCACAACGTGTCAATCCCACCCATAAGACAAACGGGCATTTTCTCAAACATTCCCAAAGAAATTTGACCACCTACCCCTTTTAGAGTCTATCAATGAGCAAATACTATTACTGAAATAATCTATTTGATTCCCAGAGATGGAATCTGTTTCAAGAAAAAAGTAAGGAGGAAGGCAGTTTTATTACTTTCCTTTATTAAAACCTGTAAAGGAATCCCTGATGCCTCAGGCTAAGAAGGAAGAAAACTTGTAAGCAGTTATTCACTCCTTAGCTCTAATGGAACTGTCAGGCTCAGTGGCAAGTAGTGGGCAAGAGTGGACTGGTGAAGAGCTGGGCAAAACCCGAGTGAAACAACTGGGGTGACTGTGCAGGACCAGGCAACTGGCTACACAATGAATTTCACAGGTTTCCTTCCTAAGGAATGGGGCATCTGATAGGGACGGTGACTCATTTTGATGATTCAAGGACAAAAAAAGAAAAGGCTTTTTAAAGAGGGAAGACTCAATTTCTGATGAATAGCTAATATTTCAGAATAGCATTTCAAGAAGATAAAACAATGCCTCCTGAAATAATTAAATAATGAAACAGATTGAAATGTCGGATCAGGACTAGGTTTTTTTTTCTTTTTTTTTTTTTTCCGACAAGGGCCCCATGAAGAATTGAACCCTTGCCTGGTTTTCAATTCTCTTTGAAGGTGCTCAGGCCAGAAAGAGAAGGCAGCTATAAAACAGAGCTGGGGTGAGGAAATAACTTAAGCTTACTTTTTTTCTTCTTTTTCTTCTTCTTCTCTGGAAACCACAAATAGATGATGGTCCAGATAAAAGGATTTGAGGATGACTTCGGTGAGGCAGAATTGCCTAAATTAATGCACCACCCCTACCCCCACTTAATCCTAGGAAGAAAAACAAAGGTCAAATTTCACACAGCACCCATTCAGTAATGAAACATGCAGGAGCAAGCTTGCTTTATGGGAAAAGAAGAAGAAGAAGAAGAAGAAGAAGAAGAAGAAGAAGAAGAAGAAGAAGAAGAAGAAGAAGAAGAAGAAG